CTGCACCAAGGACAGCTGGGCTGGCACATCTGTCCAGCAGGCGAGAAACAGGGCAGCAAGAACTCCTCCCAAGGGATCACTGAGCCTGGGCTGTGTCTCCAGCAGCAGGTGGTCTTCATAGAGAGCAGACCCCTGCATGGGCAGGGCACAACACCGAGTGACCACCCCCTACAAGCTGCAGATAACCCTCATTGGGCAGAGCCATGTGGACTCTGCTGTTTCACTTTGGTGGGGTGCCCGGGGAGGCTTCCTGAGGAGCTGGTCCCTCTGTTGGGTGGGCAGCAAGCACCTGGGCCTTTCTCACCTGCCTTCAGGGAGAGGCTCTCCTGGTATCCTCCTGGCCCTCTGGGACATTCAAGAGCAGAGGCTGGCCAGGGATGGGCAAGGCCACCTGCTCATTCGTAATCCACAGAGTGGCCAAACCCTGGATGATGGCTTACAGCAGACATGGCCCCCAGCGTGTACAGAAAGGGCACATGGGGCTTCCCTGGTGGCGCAGTGGTTGAGAATCTGCCTGCCAATGCAGGGGACACGGGTTCGAGTTCTGGTCTGGGAAGATCCCACATGCCGCGGAGCAACTAGGCCCGTGAGCCACAACTACTGAGCCTGGGCAATGAAGAGTGGCCCCCGCTTGCCGCAACTGGAGAAAGCCCTCGCACAGAAATGAAGACCCAACACAGCCAAAAATAAATAAATATATTTATTAAAAAAAAAAAAAAAAAGAGAAAGGGCACATGCACCCACAGCACAGTGTTTACAGAAACGACAGCCAGTGGGCAGAGTCTTGTTAGCCTTCAGCTGGTGGGGGCGGGGAGCTGAGTCCCCACCACCTGCCACCCCCCAACCACGGCCAAGGCGGCCTCTCTGGCAGAGGTCACTACACCCAAGCTGGAGCCCGCCTCAGCCTGGCTTTGCCTACTCCCTGCTTTGAAGTCACTGAGGCCCCTCTCTGGGGCTGGAAGCCATGTGGGGCTGACATGTCCTCGGTTTCTGAGGCTGCCCAGAAGGGATGGGGGGTGAGAAACTATTATCATTCCACTTTGCAGAGAATTTAAACCAAAAGCACCCTTTGTACATCAGGACTTCCCCCGAAGGGGCTCCAGCAGCTGTAGGCCCCGCTGCCTGGTTCTCCATCACCAGGGACGAAGTGAGGCCAGCTGGGTCCTTCCCAGCACAGCTTGTGCAGCAGGCGTGACCATCCCTAGAACCTGTCCACGGAGTCTGATCCTGGGAGCAAGACTCAGTAACCTGTCAGGTGCTTCCTGTCCTCCTGATTTACTGGTTTCCTGTGCTGCTCCGGTTCCCTCCGACCTCCGACTTCCCAACCTCAGAGCAGAAAGGCACCGCAGGAACCCACAGGGTCTGGGGCAGTGGGGCCCAGTCAAGGGAGGGATGGCTGGAGGGGTGCCATTCCCTGCTGTCCAGGAGGCCCTGTGGGTGGAGGAGCCGGCCTCCAACGTAGCTGCATGCCCTTCTGCAAGGACGCTCTGGGACCCACTAAGTGCCAGGCCTGGCCCAGGGGACCTTGGAGGAACCTCAGGCCAAGGACAAAGCAGCCCAGAACAGCCCTCCGATCGCAGGTCCTGGGTCAGCCCTGCGAGGCGCCCAGGTGTTGGGTGGTCGAGGGTAACTCTGAGTCCCTCTGGAGGCCCCAGAGGTGTCTGGTGAAGAGCCCTGACAGTCTCCCCTGCAGTTCCCACACCCACTGGCTCCGAGTGAGGATGGGGGCCAGGCCTCCAGACTCAGCCTCTGTCCAGGAGGGAACAAACAAGTGGTCTGGGGTGCCTCCTTCCCCCCACTCCAGGATACCCAAAGCTGTCCACTCAGAAGGGCCTGGGGACCACCCATTGGGGCAAACAGACCTTGGCCCTGGTGCCCTAGGAGCTCTCACACAAGTGTCAGTTACTTGACCCCCAGTCCAGGCCTGCTGCCAGGAGAGGCCCCACTCAAGTCCTACAGGCAGAGGGCGTGGAAAGCTGTGTGTACCCAGCAAGAATCAATGGTGGACGCTGCCAGCTAGTGGGCCAGAGGGGGAGGAGGGACGGGACGGTCACGTGGTCGAAAATATCTCTGTACTAATCACTTGTTATGTAAAAGGGAGAGTAGCTTTGCAGAGAACCTGGTGGGTCAGGTTGACGTCACTGGTTTGGGCAGACACAGTGTTCCTCCCAAGGCAATGCCTGAGAAGGACACAGCGGCATTTACATGTTCACACTAAGAGCACAGGAACTGAATCTCAGAATCATCAGATGAACCCCACATAGGGACAGGCTACCAAGTGACTGGCTGGATCTTTGAGGACCCCAGTGCTGGGAAAGGCAGAGACGGGCTGTGGGGTGGCTGAGGGCAAAGGGTTCTTGAGACTGGCGCCCAGGAGCATGGGAAGCAAGGTGGCCCCACCCATGCTCCTTGCCGTGCCCTGGTTACACAGGTCAGTCCTTGGCTTTACAAGATATACACTGGGCATCTTAGGAGCACAATTAGGGGCAACTGATGATCAGATGGTTTAGAAAAGTTAGAGCACGAGCACGAAAAAGCAGCTGTGGCAGAACATTAGCCCCAGGGAATTTGCTGAAGGTTGTGATGTGCTAGCTGTTTCTTTGAGTTGAAATCACATCAAAGTAAGTTTTCAAGGACAGGAGGGAGCTGGCGGGAGTGAACTATGTGGCTCAGACCGCTTGCTTCAGCAGCTCACCTCCCCTCTCTGAGCTTGTCTCCACACTGGAAGAGCACAGGGCCCTTCTCTGTGGGTGGCCGTGAGGACCTGTCTGGGAGGTGGTGGCCCCAGCTGAAAAGGGAATCATCCACTTTTCAGGGCAGCCTGAGGATCAGCCTCGGAGAAGTTGTAGGACAAGGCTCTGCCAGGTCAGCGTGGCAGGGGTGGTCAGAGCCCTGGGTTGAGGATGAGGGGCCACAGATGAAGGCTGTCCCTAGGCAAGGGCTGTACAGGTCCAGGGACGACACACAGGATAGGAGCAGCCTAGGACATGCAGGTGGCACGTCTTGGTGGCTGCTAGTGGCTGGAGTGACCACTGTTCCCTCGGCCAGCTCTGGTGCCAGGCCTGGGCTGGCCCTTGGGAGATGGGCAGGCAGCCCCACACCTGGCATGAGAGTGACAGCTGCCAGAAAAGGCCTGGAACACAGCCACCGCTGCCCAGCAGGCTGGGCGGAGCAGGGGAGAGAATTCAGCGGGAGGTGAGGCAGGCCCCATGGGCCATCTCTGTGTCTTGGCATCTAGTGACTGGGAAGGTGGCCCCAGAAATGCAGGTGATGGAGGCTCTTCACAGCAGGCTCTGGGGTGTGGTCCTGCCCACCAGGAGCCATGTGGGGCCCTCTGCTGACCCTCAGTGATGATGCAGGCCTGGCAGTTGCTGAGTGACCTCTTTGGGCTCCAACCCCCTTGCCTCCGTAGCCAGTACAGCAGGCACAGAGGAAGCCACCTGAGGGCCCCTGGAGGCTGCAGGTCAGGCAGAGTCCATCAGGGAGAGCCCCTTCCTGTGTGGAGTCCACAGGTTTCAGGTGGTGACAAATATATATATCAGAGCTCACCCCTGCTCCCAGAGAGGTCTGCACCCCTGCCCCCAGCCCTGCCCTGGGAGCTCCTCATGCCACGGCAAGGCCAAAACTGGAAAGCAAGTGGCCCTGGGTCCATCCATCCACACGAGGACATCTTCAAGAGGCCAGAGCCTACGTACACACACACCAGACCTGCAAAGAGGCCTGCTCTAGGGGACAGGGAGCCCAGTGCCCCGCAGCTTGGCAACAAACAGGAAACAGGCATGGTAATCATCTCAAGACAAAAAGTGGGGGCCAGCTGTCCCGCCACCCCAGGAGAAGGGGCGCCTCCCCAGACCTACTGCCCACGTGGTGATGGGAAGGCAGAGCGCACACTCCAAATATGTGGGAGGCTTTATTGTCCCAGCAGAAAAGACAGAGCCAGTACCCCTCCTGCCCGACCCTGGGCTGGTGGGGACTCCTCCAGGCCCCCTCCCACTGTGGCCCACAGCCAAGGAGCGTGGGTGGCAGAAGTGGACAGTCCCAAGTGCCTGGGATGGACAGAGAGCGCTGCCCCGCTGCCTACAGCATGAACATCTCCAACTCCACGATGACACACCGTATGTGACGCCAACCGCATCTTGAGGCTTCCTCCCCCTGGGGATTCTGGGGCTCACACCCACACTCAGATTCTGCCTGTGGCCAGCAGGGAGATGCAGCCTGAGTGCTAGGACCCCTCCCTGGGGGCTGCAGGAGCATCTGCCCAGGAGAAGCCGGTGAGCGAGATGGAAGATTTGCAGGGGTACAGGGCAGGAACGGGGCAGCCGGGTGCGTGGGTCTTTGCTGACAGCTCCAGGCACCCCATGTGGCCTGGCTTCACAAAGGGACACCCAAAGCCCTGAGGGCAGCTCCTCCTGCAGAGCAGTCTCTCCAGGAGCATCAACAAGTAAGCCCTATGCGAATCAGGGCGTGAGGGGCGCTGCTGCCCAGGTTCCTGGAGCTGCTGGACTGCGCTGGGGTTCAGCAGTGGCTTGGATCCCCCAGACTGGCTGGCGGTGGCTCCACTGAGACAGCTGGAAGGCACTGGGGACCCAGGAGGGCATCCCCCAGAGAAGGAGATGCTTGGGGGCCAGAGTCTCAAGGACACTTGAGTGCACCCTGGGAAGGATCCCCTCCACCTCATGATAGGATGGGGCGCCAATGAGCAGCCAGAAAGACCTGCCAGCCCACCCCACTGGGAACGGGCATGGTGGGCAGAGGCAGGGCTCTGCACCCCCTCCTAGGGTCTGGGTATAGACTGGGGTGGGGGGCAGGACGGGGGTTCTGGATAGGCCTGGGGGGCCGGTGCACACCAGGTTAACCGTGCCATCACAACAGGTCAGCAGGGGGTTCCCGAGGCAAATGTGCTGGTGCTGGAGCGTGGGCTGCTGGCCTGGCTGGCCGTTCCCGCATCCTCCTGCTCACTACTCCCACGACCTCAGAGACAGGAGGAGATGTGGCAGGCAGGGCCCCGGCAGGGCCTGCAGAGGCCCCAGGCAACCAGGGGCAGGAAGGCAAAGAGCAGGACCATGTGCTACCCTGACACCCTGGCAGGAGGTGGTGCTGGGCCGGCTGGTGGCCAGGGCCCCTCAGTCCTGCTTGTTCCCTCTCTGCCTCCAGGGGTAGATGAGCTCCCCGAAGAACAGCTTGCGGCACAGGGAACCCCAGGAGTGCTTGGGGTGGCAACCACAGGTGGGGAGGCGGTAGGTGTGCACCACGCGACTGTAGGGCAGGGGGTTTATCTGGAAGCACAAGGGCAGCGGTCAGCGGGACACAGCCCCCAACTCCCTGGGAGTCCAGCTCTCTAGGACCGGCAGGCCTGCGTGGGGGGTCCCTGGGCTGGACAACCATGGGGCAGGGCCAGCTCTGTGCCAGATGCGCTCTCACCTGGGGTACACGGGGGTCAGGGTGAGCGGCTTGGGAGGCAGGCTTGGGCCACAGTCAGGCGGGCTCCGCTCTGGCCCAGCTGCGGGGCACCGACCCCTCCATTCCAGGACTCACTCAGCTCCCTGGAGCCTCCTCAAGTGGGACTCAGGACACTCCCGAGAAAACCACACAGGGCCCAGCTGCCTCAGCATCTGACTTCTCCCCTCAGGCCAACCGGACACCTGCATTCAGCAACACCGGCACCTGGCCTGCTCCCTCCCGCTAGACAGGCCCCAGACTGCTTAAGATAAAGGAGCTCAACAGAGTAGGCCTCAGGTGTGTCCTGAGGCCTTTGCCAAGTCTCTGCTATTCTGCCTGGAAGGAGAGCCCGGGGGCCCAGGACAGGAGACAGGGATGCAGGCCCAGCAGGCAGGTGCCCTGGGTGGCTGAGGGTGTCTGGCACAGCATACGGGACCCCATATATGGGCCCTGCTGGGGGAGGTTCCAGGCACAGAGGTTCATGGTGCCCAGAGGCCTTGGGGGTGGGCGAGTCTCCCCCGGGCCCCACCCCTCAGCTTTGCTGGGCCCTCCTGCCTGCACCTCACCCAGGCCTGTGAGGCCCACACCCAGGGCGGCACAGAACATGCCTCAGAACATGGGTGGCCTCATGGCGGGCAACAGCACGAGGGCTGTGTGGAGGCCTTACCTGCATCAGGAGGCGGAGGGGCCTGCCAGTCTCGTGCTCCAAGACTCGGAACTTCACCCCGGCTGTAAGGAGAGCAAGGTCCCCATGAGGGAGGGTGGCCTTCCAGGGCTCCCAGGGCCCTGCAGGCCGCCCCCACCAGCGCTCCTGCTCCGAGCGGCATTCTGAGGGCTACAGGCTGCCCGGGCAGCAGCTCGCCTCTCCAGCCCGTCCTTCCCATCTGCCTCCTTGAGCTGCAGCCTGGCCCTCGTCAGGGCCTCCTGCAGAACTGCACTGAGAGACCAAAGCTGCGGGTCTAGCAGGCGGGGAAAAGCGGGCAGGTTGTGCTGCTTTCTGAGTAGGACAGGGGTTTTCCCAGAGTGGACGAGGCACTTGCTGGGTGGTGGGCACCCTGCTGGCATCTCAGTGCCTTCCAACTGCTGTGTGCACGGCTGACTCAGGGACCCACCACACTCTGGCCTGCAGTGTGGGCTCTCAAGCCTGGGGATTCCCAAGGCGGAAGGTCTTGAAAGGAGAAACAGGAGCTAATTATCAATTGATGAAGAGGCCCCAAGGCAAACTCGGTGGAGAGAAGAGGCGGCATCTGTGGCCTTTTATGTCAAGTTAAAAGGACTCTGCTCTAGCTGTGAGCTGAGGGCTGGGAGAGGAAGGTGCCGGGTCCAGGCTCTCCACCTGCCTGCTTCCAGGCGTGCTGAAGTGTGGGTGGGGGCTGGGGGACCAGGGAGCATGGGCAGCACTACACATGGGCCCCTGGCCTGGGCCACCTGGGGGTCTGTGGAGAACGTGGCTTGGAAAGAGGGTTTGAGGCCATCCAGCGGGCAGACTCAAGGCCCAAAGCCCAGGGAACATGCACATTCATGTCTTCTGACTCGGAACTGGCTGGGAGCAGCAGCCGTGAACTCTGGCGTGCGGCCGAGCTGCCATTTGCAAACTAGTCCAGGGGCTCCTGGGCATGCTGGTCAGCTCTGGGGCCGTGCCAGCAACTCCTCAAGTTTCCTGTTATGTTCAAAGCCCCTGAACCGGATGAGCCAACCCACAACTCAGTGACCAGTTGAGTCGGGCCTCCCTAGGCCTGCAGTGGGGACAGCCTCCTGTCAGGGGCATCTGGCCAACCCGTGGCTGGTGTCAGCATGCAAACAGGGGCATCACCTGCAGAGGGGATGACAGGAGCAGCTGAGCTGGTGCGTGTTGTCCCCGCAGGTGGTGGCCTGCTGGGGGCGGGGCGGGAGGCACGCCTGTCACACAGCTCTGGCCAGCCCGGCGTCCTCCACCCTGGCCGGTCCCCTCCAGGAGGAGAGGCACCAGCAGGCACACACAGCTCCACACAACCACACGAGACACGTCTTTTCTGAGCCACTTTCAGGCACCACCTACAGGACTACTGCAGACAGACCTCAGAGCAAACGTCCACACTCGTCACAGGGGAGGCTGAGGGCTGCCTATGTGGCCTCTGAACCTGAGGGCAGGGAGCCTCTCCCTCCAGCTCAGGCCCCGGGACCAGGTTCTTGTCCTCCCTGCCCGCCCCACACACGGCTGCATCCAGGGCCCGCAGGTGCGCCGCCTAGCCAGCATGCAGACCTACCTGCGAGCCTGTAGGGCCGGCAGAGCCGGAGGCCGAGTGAGTACAGTGGCAGGGAGTTGATGAGGTCCACAAGCAGATGGATCAGGCCCTGTACAGCGACCACCAGGAGCCGGAGCTGCATCACAGACAGTGCTCAGGGTCTCTGACCTGGGACTGTGGCCACAGCCACACTGCATGCCCCTGAGCAGAACGGCCTGACGGGTCCCAAGAGGAGGGCAGGGACCCCCGCCCTGAACCTGAGGCCTGAGCACAAGGAGGCAGGGAAGCCACAGGCTGGAGCGGTCTGCCCTGCTGCCAGGTCAGAGGAGGTGGTGCTCCAACCCAGGGAAACATGCCACTGGGCCCTCAGCCCAGCCACCCGGGGGCCACTCCCCTCCTGCTGTCTGTGCACGCCTCCTCCATAACATGGGAGACCCCTGCCCTCTGTGAACCCAGATGCGTGTCCCAGAGCAGTAGTGGGTGGTGTCCCCCGCGGGTGGGACCCCTGCCTGTTCCAGGGCCAGCACACACTGCCCAGAGTCCAGAACAGCCACACCCCATGTGGCCGGCAGGGATGGACGACCTGCCCACAGCTGCTAGCAGTCACCACTCCAAGCACTGTGGGCTAGGTCCACTGGCCAGGTGACACGCCCAGCACCCCCATGGTACACAGCACTTGGCTCACCAGGGTGAACACCAAGTAGTACAGGGCCGTGGTGGGCAGAAGGAAGACCAGGATGGTGAACAGCAAGGTCCCGATGAACAGCTACAGGGAGAAAGGATGCCAGCATCAGCGACAGCCCTGCCAGCACTGGGCACACCCGATACCCATCCCACTAAATCCGTCCTGTAATTGAGCAGAGATGGAACGCCTGCCAGCTTCCTGAGACCACTTGGGGAAGCCCACTCAGGACAGCTCTCTCCAGTACTGGGAGGGACACCTGCCTCCAGACCCGGTGACACATGGGGTGACAGGGGTTGGGGAGACCAGCTGACAGGGTATACAGCCCGTACACTAAAGACAGGAGGGTGGTGAAAATTAGGCAGCAAAAAACGTGCCCTGGAAGGCAGCACTCAGGGTCCCTGTGTCAGGTCTGAGCAAGCTAATGGGACTAGCCAGAGCCAAGCCCTGTGCAAGGTCACCTTAAGCACCTGCAGCCCCGCAGCCTCCTGAGAGCAGGGTCCATCCCCGCCTGGGCAAGGTTCGCCCTGTCTGAGGTCCTGCATACACCCTACCCCTTGCAGCTCCCCATACACCCCGGAGCCCTGCAAAACAGGAGTGAGGCTGCCCCTTGTGGTGCCTGAGCAGTTGCACCGGCCCATCGGAAGGGGCAGCTGGACTGGAGCTGGAGCCGGTACCTGGTCCAGGTCATAGGAGCAGGAGTCCACACGCTGGCGCAGAACATTCCACTTCTTCCCTCGGAACAGGCGCCAGAGTGAGGACAGGCCATGGATCTTCAGGCAGTATAGCCTGCAGGACGTGGTACCATCAGAGCTGGGCTGGTGACCCCATGCCCACCCGGCCCCGGAAGCCTGTCTGTGGTGCCCAGGGCTCGGGGGGCTGCACTGGGTCAGCCCGCAGGAGTGGGGGGGTGCACACCCACCTGGCGCCATAGACATAGAAGCAGTAGATGTGGAAGGTGAGGAGGGCTATGATGTCTGAGAGGATGGACAGGGCGACCGTCAGGCCCAGGCAGGCTGAGAGGCCCACATGCCACAGGATGCGCTCAATGAAGGGGGACATGAGGTGGATGTAGCCTGGTGGGATGGGGGTCAGCCTTGAGGGGGGAGCCCAGGGAGGTCCTGGTCCCTCCCAAGCCCACCATGAGGATGGCTGCCCCAAGCTTCTGGAAACTGTGAGTGGCCAGCACAGCATAGCAAGGCTCCACACATGGGATGCTGGGTCAACAGGAAGCAGAGACCAAGGGGACAGGGCCTGGCTGGGCCCCACTGCCCCCCCTCAGCCAGGGTCTATGTCCCTGGGGGCACGGGCTTCAGGAGCCAAAGTGCGGGTCAGTGGGGCTGGGTGAAACCCCGAGGCGGCCCGCCTGACCGCTGGCACTCACTGATCCACAGGTGGATGTGGTACAGGAAGAAGCAGCCCAGCACCTGGTCCAGCGCCCGGTTCATCTTGAGCCCAGCGGGTGCGCCCATCAGCCACTGTAGCAGATGCTGGAGCTCCTCGGCCACGTGCTGCGAGGACACATGAGGGCCACACTGTCCATCAACTGGCCCCACCCCAGTTACCCATCTGGGTGACCCTGAGTGAGAGTGAGGGGGTCAAGCCCATCAGGGGCCCCCGCAGAAGGCGGGCAGGGAGGAGGTGGGTGCTGGAGGGTCCCGCAGAGGGAAGAACAATGTCAAGTGAGGACCAGAGATAGCACAGGGACCCTCACAAGCAAGCAGGGAGGCCAACTACTGTCCTGGCTGCCCCAGGAGGAAAGCTGTGCCAGCCCTGGGAGGCAGGCCTGCAGGACTCCTGGCCTCATCCCCAACACTGAGGCCACAGGACCGACATCCCTGCCCCAGAGTCTGCCACCTCCCTCCCACGTACCAATGCAGGCCTTTCCCAACCCTGGGTGAAGGCCTCTGCCGTGTCAGGAGCAGTGAGAAGGGGAACAGAATGTTCTTTATAAATAGACCTTATTTAATATTTAAAGGATAAGAGCTTGGCGTCAGGAAGAGGCTTTCATTTTTAAATTAAATATTTATATTTCTGAGCAATTTTGCAAAAGGGAGGCCTAGGATGAAGCTGGCCAAAAGGCAGAGCACCCTCCTGCCTCCTGGGCCAGGCTTCCCTGAGAAGCTATGGGACTCTTGGCCTGTAGGGGCTCCTGCCTGCAGGGTCCTGGCCTGGCCACAAGCAGGCCCAGTGCACACTTGTGCCTGGACGCTGATGACAGCAGGCAGCAGCTGAGTCCACAAGGACCTCGCAGCCAGGCCGCAGCGGCTCTACCACACCCAGGGCCAGGAGCCCCACAGAGGCCTAGGCAGAGGGGGGGGGGGGGTGGGGCACTGAGGGACCAGAGGGGCTGCCCTAGGCAAGAAGACAATCTCCCAATAGAAGTGACAGGGCCTCTGAAGGAGGCAAAGAAAATGAAGGCTCAGAGCCAGCACGGACAGACAGTGGGAGGATGACTGTGGAAGGGAGAGGAGGCTGGGGCGGTGCCCAGGCCCTGGGAACGGCGCACAGACTGTGCAGGGCAAGTTCAGGAGCACAGCCGATGAGCTGGTGCCTCTGGCTCTCAGCATGGGAGATGCAGAACTGGTACAGGCATCAGGGTGGGAGGCTGAGCTCGACCACACAGACACCGGCACGCACACAAGGTCTCTGTGATGCTGACTGTGCAGAGCGCCCAGGCCAAAAGTGAGCCACCCCGAAGAACCAGGAGAGCAGAAATGGTCATGCACGGTGGGGAGGCAATGGGGATGCCATGACACTGAGCCTGGCAGGGAGGTGGCTCCCCCTAAAAGTCTCCAACACAAGGGGGCTCCAGACAGGCCACCTGCAGGAAGAGGCCAGGAGCTGGAGGGCCCAGGTCTACACAGCCCCACCTATTCTGTAAGACACAGCAGCTCCTAGGGGACTTGTCTGGGGTCAGGGGTGAGCTGCTCTGGCTGGCTGAGGGGGCTCTGCTGCCCCCAGGAAGGGTCCTGCCCCCCGACCCTGGGAAACAGGTGTTCAAGTACACCTCAACCAACTCACGTCAGCCACAGGGATGAGGGCATCAGCCAGCTGCCCGATGAGGTCCTTCCTGTGGAGCCAGGACAGCAGCGTGAGGCCAAGGGCCACATCCAAGAGCACAGAGACAAGCATGTTGGCCTTCCTGGAAGGAGGGGTCCAACAGGAGCGAGTGGTGAGGGTGGCGTGGCCAGAAAGGGTCAGCTTGGGCAGGCCTACTGTGGGGAAGGGGCTGGGCCCATGGCGCGTCTGGCCACTGTGGAGGAGACCAGGGCAGGACCCGCACCTCATCAGCTGGGCGGGGTTCTTAGCCTTCCGGGTGCTGAAGATGAGTGTGAGCTGCTCCAGCCGGTGCCTGAGCTGCTCGCACGTGGAGAGTTTGCTCCAGATGAAGGACAGTGGCCACAGCTTGAACACCCTGCGGAGGAGGGGAGAAGGATGGACCTCCGGGTCTCTGGGGTTCTTCTGCCCACCAGGGAGGGAGGGCCGTCTCAGCCGTGGCCAATATCCCTCAACGTGCAGAGAGGAAGGGCCCTGGTCTCCCCAAATACCAGTAGCCACACTCCTGAACTCAGCGGGGCGGGGACACGGGGGGAGGACCCAGGTGGGCAGCCCAGCGGGGGTTGCGGTCACTCACAAACATCAACTGGGAACGCAAGGTGCTGACTCCAGGCACTGAAGCTGAGTGCCTGCCGGACGCGTGTCCGTGTCAAGGGTTTCAGCTGACCTGACTGCTCAACGAGAATTATCTCTCACGCAGCAAAGAAAAAACCAGACACTTCACAGACATGAAGGCATTGAGAGGAGATGTTCTCAAGCAAACGTGGACAAAGCGTCCAATGGCAACTCAGAGCCTAGCTCCCACCCAGAGCCCCACTGCCGGCAGGAGGGACCTAAAGGGCTCGTGCAAAGTGCAGAGCCGCCAGATGATCACGCTCAGGCCCTCGGGAGGAAGGAGGTCTTGACCTTGAAGGTTTGAAGCTTCTGTCCTCAGCCAAGCCACTCTGACCCAATTCCAAGAGTGAAGTGTGGTCTGCACTGCACCCCCCATTCCAGTCCAGTGGAAGGCAGCCTCGCATGGGCTGCAGAGACCCCCATGCAGGGTCTCCCCGAGGTTCAGACCAGCCCTGGGCAGCACCTGCACCTGCCCTGGGCAGCAACAGCCATGCCCCACATGGACGTCACAGGGCTCCTGACCTCCGCCAACAGCCAGCACCTGCCTACCTAAGGGGCAGATCGGGATTCGGGGCACTCAAGCGGTTCATAACCTTTCTTGCTTTCTTTGAGAGCTGACAAAAGGAATTTCTCTTCCCAAAGTTGCACCCAGGCCCAGACACACTTTCACACGATTCATTCCAAGGGGCTGTGAAGCTCTGAAACCCACCGCTCAGGACAGGATACCCAGCAGCCCCCACAGCCCAAGGTGGTGTGCACACGTAGCTGCTGGGGTCTCTCTGCAGGGACAGGCCCGAGCACTCCCAGAGCCCCTGGTGAGCCGGCGAGGCCAGTCCCCAAACCTGACAGTCGAAACCCTGGACCTCAGGATGCAGCACAGTTGTCCCATACCAGGTGGTACCACCAGGGAGGTGGCTTCTCATAGAGAGAGGGTCCTGTGGCTAACTCGCCAGAACACCCACGTGCTGCCCCAGCATCCTCAGGGCCCCCAGGGGCTTTTACAAATCCCTTGACCAGGCCCGCAGCCAGGAGTGTTCCGGTAATTCTAGAGAGCGGCCCAGGCTGGGGACCACGCCCCCAGCCCCACAGACAGCAAGTGGATGCTGTCCCACAGCCTCCCAGGGCTGCCTCTCCTGCGAGGTCGGGGCCAGGGAAGCAGGTGGGCCTGTGGGTCTGCAGGACAAGCAACTTGCCAGCAAGGCAAACAGTGGCCGCTGCGCGGCAACAACCCGGTCTGTTCATCATCTAATTCTCCTTTCAGGGACCTGAGCTGTCTGAGGGTCACCATGTATCCCTACTCAGTGTGTCCCACGCAACCACAGGGGCTTCCAGGAAGCCTAGCTTTGCCACAGGAGCGAGGGACACCAGAACAGAAACCACCACTAGGGTATCCTCTGAGCTACAGTGCGGAGGGAGCGTGGGATGAGAGCAGGGGTGCAGGGGGCAGCGGTAAGCTTCAGACGGGCCATCTGGGCCTCCATGATCCCTGCACACCAAGGGGTGGGCCTAGGCCTCAGGGGCCCAACTCTCCCTTGCCTGGCCAAGGGGCACCTACCGACAGGAGCTGGCAGCTGAGATGAGAGACAGCAGGCAGGCCAGAAACAGGCAGACAGGCCCTGCTGCCCACTTGGCCAGCTCCACGAGGATGCTAGCCTCCATGCCCTCCGACTGCCAGTGGCTCAGCCGCACGGGGCCCTCATCGAACCGGTCACTTTGGAAGAGTGCCTCGCTACGCGCCACTGTGTCAAAGACAGCAGCCAGGCCCCCCGCGCTGGCTGTGGTGTCCCCAGCCTGGCGGTCGGGCAGGGCCGTGGGCGGGTGCAGTTGGGACAGCAGCACCTTGCGCTGGTCGTAGAAAATAAGCATGACCTGGTCTTCGCCGGAGGCGGCAGGGGAGGCGGGCCCCCGCCAGTGGGTGGCCTTGCAGCTCCAGGACTTGCTGCCTCTCTCCCGGCATAGCTGGAACCAGGGCTTGTGGGAGAAGATGGCGCCCAGGCCCTCCAGGAAGTGGCCCAGGCTCTCCTCCAGCTCTTGCCGGCGGTGGCACCAGGTGCCCAGCACAGTCACGCCCACCTGACTGGCCTGCTGCACCTGGGCCAGGAGCTCCTTGACCTGGACGGGGATGAAGGGGAAGTGCACCACAGCCAGGACCACGGCACTGCTCTGCTCCGGGACCCACCGTCCAACCAGGAGGCCGCTGTCCGCTGAGGCACAGCACGTGGGGAAGAAGGCCTTGAGCACCATGCCGGGGCCTCTGGAAGAGAGAAGGGGCTCAGCTCAGAGCTGCTGCCAGTGCCACTGTGCCCCGAGGACCCGGGGTGGCTGGCAGTGCCAGGGCTGCAGGTCCTGGCCAACAGGTGGCCCTGACAGGCACATCCACGTGGCCACTGGGCCCATAGGTGGGGGCAACCAGCTTTGGGTCTGGTCACGAGGCTGGCAGGGGGGCCCAGCTGTCCATCTCTGCCCCTGGCTGCTGTGAGTACAGGCCCAGGCCACTCCCATTCCTACCCTGAGGCAGGGCAACGCTTCCCCACTCCAGACACAGGCAGGCTGATACAGGTGAGGTCACGTGACCTGCTCAGCACCACTCACAGGCTGTGCCGGGGTGAGCACAAGGGTTTAATTTTTGTTTTTAGGGAACTGATTAGTTTCTGATGTGTAGCACATGGAAAAATCTACAATCTCATTAACAATTAAAGTAATTTAAATTAAAAATCGAACAAACCGTGATTTACTTACTAAGCTAGCAAGAATAAAGATGAACATTTAAACAAATTGCCGCTGAGCTGAGGGAAATCAGATGCGTCCACACCGCTGGCAGCTGTGGGCATTGGTACAGGTGCGCCAGAAGATGCCTGGGGACATGCCTGGTGCCAAAGCCCACCTCCCTTCCCAGTGAGCCCCCTGGGGGAGCCTTGGTGCTCAGGGAACAGGTTCAGCTCCATGGGGCTTCTGCTTCTATCCCAACCCTCCAGCCTGCGGCTGTGCCCATCCTTCCCTGGGAGCCCCATCCTCTTGTCACAGCTGAGCACCTCCTTCAGGACTACCTATTCCCGCAACCAGGCAGTGTTCTAGAAATGGGGGTGGGAGAAGTTCTCCAGCCCTGGAGAATGGCTGAGGGGACACCAGCCTTCCCAGGACCTCTGAGCAGCAATAACATCCCCAAGCAGCTGCAATTCCTGAATCCTGTGGGACTGTGAGCCCTGCCTTGCACAGGAGTCAGCTCACCGCGGATGTGGATTCTCAGTAAGCAACTCGTTTCCCACCTGAGCCCTCCTAGACAGGGCCTGACGGGAAGGAGGTTCACCTTGGTGAGGGTTCACCTTGGAGCTCGCCCTTTCCTAGACACTAACGACCCCACTGTGTCAGCACAAAGGGCAGAGAAGCTGCCCTGAGCTAAGACCCCCAAGTTGGAGATACACCCGAGGGAGGGACACAGGCCTCAGACTGAGCCTGGTCCTCCAGGCCCCAGTGCTCAACAGGCCCTTGGAGAGAGGGGGAGAGAGAGGGACACACATGTTGGGGAGGTGCGACATTGAGGGAGCCCTTTCCTGAGGATCAGGGGGGCTGTGGGAGGAGCCTCAAATGCCCAGGGCTTAAGAGGCAACTGGTAGGACTTCCATGGTGGCACAGTGGTTAAGAATCCGTCTGCCAATGCAGGGGACACGGGTTCGAGCCCTGGTCTGGGAAGATCCCACATGCCGCGGAGCAACTAGGCCCGTGTGTCACAACTACTGAAGCCTGCGCGCCTAGAGCCCATGCTCTGCAACAAGAGACGCCACCACAGTGAGAAGCCCACACACCACAATGAAGAGTAGCCCCCACTCGCTGCAACTAGAGAAAGTCCACCCACAGCAACGAAGACCCAACGTAGCCAAAAAATAAATAAATTAAAAAAAAAAAAAAAAGGCAACTTGGTGAAGCCGCTTTTCTCCCCTGCAGTCCAGAGTGGGGCTGGAGGGGCGAGGCTTCTCCCACCTGTGGGTTTTGACTGAAAAGCATCCCTCTGAGTCCAGCAGCAGCTGGACTCCCAAATACCCCTCCCCCCGAGACCAGAGAGGGCAGGCAACATGGGTGTCAGCAGGGGAAAGCCTAGAGCCCAAAGGCAGCCCCGGGGCTAAGTTCCTGTGGCCATCAGCAAGGGCATCAAGGACCACCTTGTCTTCCTGACACTTCTGCACGGGAATCGTGAGAGACACAGAGCAATTCTGCCTGTGAGGATCCCAGTACATCTCGCTTGGTGACCACCATAGGGGACCAGCCATCATGGTCCAAGCCTCTCAGCACCAGCCTGTCGGGAACCACCAGCTCAGCCAAATGGCACAATCACACCCTGCTCAGGGACTTCTTTCACAGCAGCTAAGGAAAACTGCCCAGAGCTACTGTCAGAAAATAAACACAACTGGCCTAACACTGAGCAGATGCTCTGGGCGAAGCTGGTTACACGGTGGGTTCACTTTCAGAAAATTCACTGAGCTGTACACATACGATCTGTGCACTTTCTTTGTGTGTTTTATGCTTCATCTACAAAGTTTACCTTGAAAAAAAAAAGCTCCTCATGTCTGGGGAAGAGCGGAGGGCAGAGGTTGGTGTTCCCATCTATGGGGTAGTGAGAGAGAACTCTTAAATCACGGGGTAAGTTCCCATCCCCACCACTACCTCAGCCTCTGGGAGTGACCAACACAAAGAAGTCTGCTCAGATCAGACAGCCAGGAAAAGATGAAAGAGGAGGCAATCGATAGCAGAGGTGCAGATGGGAGAAAGCGGGGCAGTAACACGCAGCCGTGTGCATCTTTAAAGACTGTGATAAAAACAAGGGCACAGGCCTGGGAAAGCTGCCTCTGTTATGAATGACACCTGGTTCCCTGTGACCCAGCCCATTCCAGATCAGTCAGGGCATGCAGTCACTAGAACGACCCTCCCCGCATAACCTGAACTCAACCATCTACCTTGTGAAGTGGACATCCTGTCATCCTCCACAAGACCTGATTCAGAGCAAAAGCCCAGTTATGACTGGCCAGGGACATCTAAACGGCTAAAACCATCCTCTGCGGAGCCTCCTGGTCACTGCTCCTCAGTAGCTCACAAGAATTCATTGTTACTCCATGTGTTTGTGTTTAAAAAACAACAGGCATTCAGTAAAGAATGCTCTTCCCCACAGGCTCTGGTTTTTGCCCTGTACTGCAGTCAGGAACAACTGTAAAGCTCTGACAGCCAGTTCCATTGACCATGAATGCCCTTCCAAAGGGTCCACAGAGGGACCCGGGTTGGGGTGGGCCAGAGGGAACCGGCCGGCCGCCCTTCACCCCACAGGGCGGGGGTCCAGACTCCCCGCCAGGGCATCCACGCGGCCCGTGGGGCTGGGAGGGCGGGCTCCTGCAGGGGCTGGCGGGTCCTCACTGCCCTCCCAAGTCTCAGGCCCACCCTGGCCGGCGGCCGGCGGCGTCCCCATTTTACAGATGAGGAAATAGAGGCTCCGAGAGGCAAAAGGGCTGCGCCGCCTCCGGGAGGAGGCTCCGGAGACCCTCGGGCTCCCGGCCCTGCTTCCGCGGCCGCCGCGGCAAGAGTCGGGGCCCACAGCCCGGCGGGGTCGGCTCCCCAAGGTCGCGCCGCAAGGACGCCGGCCCGCCCCCCGATTGCTCACCGGCTGCTCCCCGGGTCCGCGCCCTCAGCTGGCGGGGTCGGGGTGCGGTTGGGGACCGCGTCGGGCGGGCCCGGGCGGTCAACAGCACTCGCCGCCCCCAGCCCCGCCTCGGCAGCGCCGCGGGACACGAGCCCCATTTCCGTCCGCTCCCGGCGTTGCCGCGCGACGGTCCGGCCCCAAAGGCACCCGGGCTGCCCTCCGGCCCTCGCCCGAGCGTTCCGTGCACGCAACGTTCCGGTCGCCAGAGCCGGTGGCCCGTGCGCGCAGCGCCCTTGTCTCTACTGCGTCCTTGTCCTCCCCATGCCCTGTGCACAACGTCCTTGTCCCCCATGTCCTTGTCCCCCTCGCAGCATCTTTGTTCCCCCTCCAGTCTACCCACAGTGTCCCCAACACCCCTGCCTTCCAGTTCCCCACCTTCCCACAGCCACCAAACCTCCCCCATGCCTGGTTTCTTCATCTGAGGGATCCAGTAGACCTGACATTTGAGGGTCCCAGACTTCATCTTGTCCCCACCATCCCAGGGTGAAAGGATCCCCAGGCCCTGGGTAGGGTCCCAGAAAAAGCTGCCACCCCAGCCCCAGACTGGCCCCTTTGCACCCTAGTCCCTGTAGAGGCCAAGTGAGCTACGAAGGTTGGAGGGCCAGCCCAGGGTCTGAAGCCATCTGATCTGATGGTCAGGAGGCGTCCCTGGCCCCTCCTGTTCCAGGGGACAATACCCCTAGCACCAGCAGCAACTACTAAAGTTTACAGAGCACCTGCCCCACACACTTCCTTACACTGACCCACTTAATACTGCCCCACCTTTGCAGGGGCTGGGACATATGGAGGGGACCTTGTCAGGCAATGGCCTAAACCACAGACCCCTGAGACCATCCCCTCACCAGCCCCCAGGGGCAGGACTAGGCACTGGCCCTTTCCCCTGAAGACCACCCACTGGAACTAGGAGCCTGGCTGGGCTCCTGACTCAGAGTAATCCCACACACCCCTTACCCCTTCCGGCCTCATTTTCCTGCTATTTTTAAGCAGCAGGAGTCTGTCCTCACAGGAAGGCTCTTCTGCACTTGACCACTGCCCGGAACTCTCCCAGCAACCCCACCCATGAGCTTGGAGCTGTTTGATCCTCATTTGCAGTGGAGAAAATGAAGGCTCAGACAGTGTCACATGGGAGAAGTGGACCAGGAGCATGGAGGCTTCCAACCCAGCCATGTGTCACCCCAGGGCACCTCTGGGTGGGGCCCCTCCTCTGCTCCCCCCTTACCTCAGCTGGGCCCAGAGAAGCTTCAGGAGGCTTGGCACCTGGGGCACCTCTGAAAATGGTGGACAGTGCAGGGCCGCGCCCCTGCCCAGGCTGCCCAGCCCAGCCCAGCCCGGCCCTGCCCGCCCAGTCACACCCTCCCTGCCTGCCTCTGTCTGATTAGGAGGCTGGGGCTGCGGCACCTGGTGGGAGATCCTGCCTGGGTAAGTGCTGGTAGCTGGCCCAACACGCTGAAGATCTCCAGGCTTCAGCTGCCAGCCCCAAAGCGCAGGCCTCTTGGGCCTTGGAGGCTGGGAGGCAGCTGATCCAGGCTGTGGACCAAGTCTGAATCCTCTCCAGGAGGAAGACAGGAGGCCAGGCCCGGGCCCGACAGCAGTGCTCAGGAGTGTCAGCAAATGTACAAGGTCAGGAAGGCATGGCCAGCAGCCCTGGAGGACCCTGCAAACCCTGAACATTCCTCCTGTCATGGTCCAAACTCCGGGGGCTGGACCCATGCACAGTGAGGGGCTGCTCCCGTTCAAGCCCACCGGATCAGGCGAATTCCAAGTAGGACTGGTACACTTTGATGTAGCCGTCCTCTGCATCCGCCACCATGAGCTGGCCCTGGGGCACACAGGCCACACCCAGGGGCCACCTCAGCCCCTCGGACACCAGGCAGATGGGCGCCCTGGCCCAGGGGAACAGGGTCACCTGGTGCCGCTGCTCGTCCGCCACAATGACACTGCCCGCTACGTCGGTGCACACGCCTGCTGGGCTGCCAAAGTGGTACCCAGTCAGGTCCCCCAGGGAGCACAGGGGCTGGCGGGCACTGCCAAACAGCCACACGTCCCCAAACTCCTTGCTCACAGCCAGGCCCCCATCGGGCCCCAGACCCACCCAGCAGGGGCCCTCCAGGCCCAGCATGGAGGCGGGGGCCAGTGGCTCCAAGGCAGGGCCCAGTGTGAAGCTGTGCACAGCCCCGGGCACGTAGTCTGTCACCAAGAGGTGGTCAAGGGTGTCCACAGCTAGCCCCCTGGGGGCCAAGAACGTGCCCACTGTCACCCAGCGGCCTTGAGGGGCTCGGACGGTGTGCTGCAGCACACGGACCGCCCTGTGGACCAGGTCACTGATCACCACGAGCCCAGCAGCTGTCACAGCCACGTCCTCCGTCACGAAGGCCCTGGCCCCTGGCACAAGGCAGGGCAGGTGGCAGATGGAGCGTCCCTAGAGGTCCAGCACGTGGATGCAGGGTGCAGTCCCAGCCGTCAGGAAGAGCAGGCCATCTGGGGAGCAGTGCAGGCCCCAGCCCCTGCGGGCACTGGGATCCACCCAAGCAGCCGGGGCCACCAGGAGTGAGTGGGGTCTCCAGGCAGGTCCAGTGTGAGGCGTGGTCCCTGGGACGTGGCTGACCTGCTGGTGGGGGAGGCCCAGGAGGTCAGGGTAGGAGGCCAGAGAGCTGGCCGGTAGGCGGACATCACAGCCTCAGCCTCTCTGAGCCAGTCCTCCAACTGGGCCAAGTTTGGGGCTGCAAAAGAAACGACACCCCACCATGTGCCAAGCAGTGTGACAGCGGACCCCCTGCACACTTCCCGGCGGTGCTGGTTCCTCCTGTTTTACAAATTTGACTCTGTTCCACCAGGTCCCGACTTCCAGCCGTGCTTCTGGGCCCTATTTTCCCAGATGCGGTCCCTGAACACAATTCTGGGAGACACATGACCCAGGAGGGCTGCTGTGGGTTTTGTTCTGAGGCCGGAATGAGCTCAGGGGCATCTAGGTGTCCGAGGTGGGGGGAGGGGTGACAGATGAGCAGTGTTTCTCAAACGCCTCCGCCCATGGAACCTTTTCTCCAGACAGGGAAAGTGGCCCTTGTTGGGGGCAGCCCAAGCCCCTGCCCATTGCCCCACACAGCCCTTGGAGACTTCCAACTCCTGAGGGGTGAAGCAGGAGTCCTTTCCTAGGCCTCTCTGGCTGTGGGGAGGGGTCTCCTACCTGGGGGGGCTCGTGCTCTGTTGTTGGAAACCAGAGCCTGAGGGGGTGGGAGGAGCCACCTGGCAGAGGAGGGGGGGAAGGGGGGAAGGGGGGCAGGGAGGCAGAGCTCTGGCTGGGCCACCTTTGAGCAGCACCCAAGGAAGCTCTAAGGAGTCCAATCACTCAGCTGCTGACCCCACCACGTACCTTCCAGTGCTGCCACATTCCTGCCTCGGGGCCTTTACTCTGGCCTCTGGGACATTCTTCACGCTGCCCCTGCACAGCTGGTTGCACTCACGGTCCTCTCAGCCCACCCTCCCCAGGGGGCCCAGGGCCTCCACCACCTGCTGTCTCAGGAGACAGCACCGCCTCCGTCCTCCAGCAGGACTGAAATCTCAGGACCTGGGGGAAGGGGCTGTGCCCCCAACCTGCTGGCTGGGTCACTCACCAGAGTCCAGGGCGGGGGCCTCCAGGGGCTGCATCTTGCACCCCCACAGACTAGACAGGTTGGGTCCTGTCTCTCTGATCCTGTTCCTGCACCAGCCTGCCAGCAGGGTCAGGCTTATGTCTGTCCATTGGGTGATAAGAAGTCGGGGTGCAGTAGCCAGGTAGGGGTGCTAACGGGAGGTCAAGGTGGGGTGGGTCTCCCTCAGACTCAGGACCTGGGGATTCTCCAGACACCGCCTGACTCAGCCCACAGCCCCTCCAGGAAGCCCCTGGAAGGTGGGGGTCAGCCGTGTCTGTGACCCACAGCACTCCCTACCTGACCGCCTGCACCCCAGCTCTGGACACTGCGGAGGGGCGGGCGGCGATGCTATCTGCTACCGGTGCGGTTAATGGGGCGGCCGCAGGTCCTGATCCGACTGGCCCCAACCCGGCTGGCCCAGCGTGGGGAGCCAGGCACAGGCAGGAACTGCCCTCCCTGGGGCCATTGCTGGGTGGGCGTGGAGGTGCGGCCAGCTCCCAGGAACAGAAGTGATTCGCTGGGGCTGAGGGTCCCCCGGGCACCCCTCCCCGCCTGCCCCCCACCCCCCACCCCCGCCTGTGGGAAAAGCCAAGTCTGGTCGCGCTGGGAGGGAGGCAGCGAGCTGTGAAGGCCACCGATGCCTATCGTGGCTGCAGGGGCTGGCAGGGGCCCAGCGGAGGCCACGCTGGGCGAACAGCCCTGGGCCACAGAATGTGGGGGCACCGTTGAACCACAGAGGGAGCGGCCTCCTGCATGAATCTGACATTAGGCCTGTCCTGCCAGATGGGGGCTGAAGCATGTCCAGGGGTCCCTGCCCACAGCCCATGTGCAGAAACACAGGCCTGACCAGGGCTGAGACCGTGCACACCTACCTGCCTCCCCCCGCCCCACTCTGCCCCCCCCATAGAAAGCTCCCCACTCTCTCCCCAGACTCCGGCCCCCCAGGGAGGGCCCAGTCCACAAGAGGAGGTCTGGACACTGCCCCCCTGACGCTCAGTCTGGGGACATCTCTGCAGAAGGTGACGCTAGACCAGCGAGGGATGAAGGAGGCCCAGACGGGGTGTGAAGGTGGTTTCCATTTTAATGTTCACAACTGTGATCACTAAAGAGCCATGACCCTCTGCTGTACTTGTGTGGCCCCAGAGACGGGTATGGCCATGGCGGGTGGGGTCTGTCCACGGGCATGCTGGGGCAGGTGTGGGGCCAGGCAGCAGGCATGGGGTTGGAGAAGGGCCCCTGTCTGTTAAGGACAGAGATGGCAGCAGGGGCTGTGGTCAGACCTCGGCACCCGTGGGGTTCTGCAGGCCAGGGACAGACTCAGGGGGCCAGGAGCCCCCAGGCCCACCACGGGTGCCCCAGCTGCCAGGAAGGACAGGGTCCTCTGGGGCCTGGAGGGGAAGACCCGGTGGAGGGACACTGGAGTCAGCCTCACACTTGGTGGTGTGGCTGGACAGAGGCTGGGCT